TCCATTTGAATGGAAATGGCTATGTATCATTGTCTTACAGACACTCTCTGTAGAAGCAGCACCTCTGGGCCTCTCATGCTACTCCTTTTGCATGTTTCTGCATGCATTTTATCTTGTCATTGTTTGGGATCAGTCCCTTTTGGTGTTGAATCCTGAAGTACAAGTGCATGATGCTAGAAACACTAGAATTTCATTTCAATGACCTTTTTGCACCAGAAGACAGAAGAAAAGACTGGGAAAGACCCTACACAGGTTTTGATGCAGAATAGAACCGCTGGCTTCAAGACTGATCAGGGTCAGATGGAAAATCTGTCAAATCATCATGAAGTGGAGACAGGGCAAGATGTAAGTGAAGGTTACTTCTATGTGATTCTTGGGTGCAGAAACTGCCTTTCCTTTACATTCCATTCCGAGGAACTGCAGCACTTACTGAAGACCCGTGTTGGAGAGTTTGTTGGTTAATTTAAAACTCCATAGTTCTGTAACTTGTGAGACGTGATGTTTGGATTGGTTCTCACTTGTAATTGGTAAGTAATGCCATTTAGGTAATGCTGAAGTGCGTTGTATTTTACTGAAGACTTAAGAGACAAACTGAAATGTCTTGATGCTTTCCAGTTGTTCCCCCCTCAATCTGCTCATGGCTTGAATAAGCAGTCATTGTAAGAGGATGTTCGAGGTACCATATCTACGATGGATTATAGATTCGAGAGTCCAGGTGCAGGTTCTGACACAGTGGAACCTCGTAACATTCTTCTTCTGTGTGATGTTCCTAGACCTGTATTGGCACCAATAAAACAGCAGTAATCCCTTGTTTTTCTGAAGTGATTTCCGTGCAGTTGAACATGCCAAAGTGTTTGTCTGAGGTGATGGCTGAATGCACATTCAAAAAGACAAGTTTTTTTCAGCAGGCAGAGAGGAGAAAGAAGGAAGGGTTGGTTGTTTATGTCAAAGATCATTTCAGTGGCAGGACACAGAGAGTAATTAATGAAGCCTTGAGTATCCTAGGCTTTATTAAAAAGGACATAGACCACAAGAGCAAGGAGGTTACCTTGAACTTGTATAAGACATTAGTTTGGTCTCAGCAGGAGTATTGTGTCCAGTCTGGTCTGGCCAGATGTTGGGAAATTTTCTTTTTCAGGCAGTGAGTGGTTAGGGTCTGGAATGTACTGAGTACGTGTTGGAGGCAAGTTTACTAACACCATCTAAGAAGCAACCAGATGAGCATTTAAAATGCCAGGGTATAGTTGGCTATTGACCAAGTGTGCAGGTAAATGGGATTAGTGTAGTTTGATGTTTATCGATTGGTTGATCAGCCTGTTTCAATGCTGTATGACTTGAATAGACCGGGTGTTGTTCGAGTCTCAGATGAATGAGAGCATAGGTGAGTGTTCCTTCAGTGATGGGAGTGAGACTGGATTAACTCGGTCTTTCCAGGATGAGGCAAAGCAACATACGTCCCTCCACCCATTCTGAGGAAGACTGCATTAAGAAAGTGTTCTTGCAGTCAGTCCAGCTCAACTGACAGATAATAAATTAAAGTCAGTCTCGCTCTCGTGGACATGCTGAGGTTGGAGTAGAGTGGTTAGAAGTTCCTGGATTTTGGGATGGGGAAGCACATTCAGTTTAAAATACTTAGACCTCAAAAGCAGTAAAATATCTTTTTGCTGTCAGTGAAGTCTTTCCAAACCTTACTGACTTCTTATCACCACCCCAAACTTTCCATCTCAAAGGATGGTGGTGCAGAGAATGATTTCAAAAGGAAAGTAGATGGACACTGGAGGGAAATCAACCTGCTGGGTTTCCAGTTATTGTGCAAGGGGAATTGGACTATCTTGATTGCCATACAGAGGGCCTACAGGAACTAAAATAAATTGATGTATTTGTTTGAAATTTGGCATTCTTGCGTGATCCTGATGAGTTCAAGACAAACAATTTTGGCAACATGTCTCTATTGATAAGATTTAAGTTCTGTGCTATCGAATGATGAATTCTAACTTTTTCTGCTGACCTGTGAGGATAGAATTAATCTTGAAAAATAATGCAAAACTTCCACTAGACAATCAGGCTTTTCTTCACCACAGCCGATAATGCTCTGGACCAAAACTGCCAATTCCCTAGTGCCAGTCTGTTGAGTCTCCTATTCAACATTACTTTGGTCTCCGTGTCAGCATTAGGGGTTCCCAAGTCTTGTACGTACACCACCTTAAGACTCTGACTCAAACGTCATCTGCTGAACTCCTGCAATGCACCTACTTTGTGCCAAACTCCAGCATGTTACAGCAGACCGCCCCACTTTGGCACCAGGTTGGTATCTGAATGATAAATAAGGACCAGTTTGTTTGTGGAACTGAAATTGGGCATATTCACTTTAAATGGGATTCTTACCCATCACCAGTCAGAGAATGCCAACCCAAGCAACTGCACTTTCAAGGACGAATGTTGGACATTCAGACCTTGAGTACGAATTAATATTGTCTCACCTGTCCCATGCAGTACCTGGTTTGTCAGTCTAACACTGTCGCTACTTATCGAAATTCCAGGCCCTTCTGTGGCACGGTTGGGAGCAGAGTTGCGAACAGCACTTTCTGCAGAATAATGGAAGGTGACTGAGTGCTTTGAGAGGGAAGATTGCCAGTCTTGGTGTGGATTTAGCCTGATTGTGGCCACAGTAATGGCCAGATTGAGTGTATGCATTATTTTGCTGTGACAGCTCTGTGTCTTGAAGTTGGAGCTGACAAAACTCAAAACTGGTGGAGTGGCCTGCCACGGGGAATGACCCCCTGCTGCAAATCCTACGTTTCCTCGGGTGCAGTATTTCCCAGCAGTTAGCTAGCTCCTCCTCCAGGGGGCAGTGAGGGGCCATTTGCATAGACGGCAAACGGTTGGTGATTGGCTGAAAATAAACTTATTGCCTCATCATTCAGAGGTGACCTTGTGTCAAATGTTCTCCCAGCAACCAAAAGCTTAGACCTGTTCTTTACCTGACTAGTCAGAATCATTTTAAGAATGGAGGTGGAGAAGCATGCAGTGGTGGTAGTCCCAGCATTAGGCTAAATGTCCTTTTGTTGAGTGAGTTTCCACACTTGACCAAAACAGTGCAAAAGGTGCTTTATCCTGAATACATTCCCATGTTGAGGGAGTTTGTCACCACCCACTGAAATGGTGGGTGTTTGCATGTGGCGTTCATAGGTAAAGGGCAACTGAGTGGCTATCTGCAATGTATGTTACATAGGGGCTTGTCTTGACTGTGTGAGACCAGAGGTTTCATTGTTTGGTATTCCTTTGTGTTGAATGAAATGAAATGGCAGGTGTTTGAGGCCACTGTGTGTTGGGACTGAGAGTTATCAGTCTTTGTTGCCTGCTGTTCTTAATTGCAGGGGTCAGTTGGTGGATGCTGCAGTCTTATTTGATAATAAAACCTAATTCTAATTGTCAGTGTTCAGAATGCAGGAGTCACCCAGAACACTGCTAGAGTTGATTTGAGAGCAATGGATGCTCGTTGGAGTTTGAACGTAACAACTGAGTTCTTGGTGGGGTCGTTATTTCTGTCACCAACTCCATTTTGACTTAATTCCCTCCCTTGATTCCCTACCATTTTAGATCTTTTTTTGTTACTGTTGTACTGCCCACCAGTAGTTAATTGAGCGTTGGTAATTTGGTGGTGGAATGTTAAAATAACATTGGAGCTGGGTTCCTTACATTGCCTCCGGTGGATGTTATTATTTGTACATGAGGTATTTCATTCAATTGGTGGTTGGTCTGCCTTTTTTCTTTCTTTTTTAAAAAAAAAAAAGGCCTGGGTTCTTCCCCAGCATGGAGTTGGCTTCTTTACACCGAAAGCATTGAGAAGGGAAATACGGAAACTGATGTTTGTGATAAACTATAGAATTACAATAAAACCCTTGTATATTCTCTGAAAGGCTTTTGCTGCCTCATTCAACATCTGGATACTGTGTGTAGGACGTCAATGTAGAATAAAAAGGTCACCAGTAACAGGGCTTGATTAGGCTGGTGAAGAAAGTTCTTGAAGGGACACCTGAGGGAGTGGTAGTTTGAGTCTATAACGTGATGATGTGGCACACATTGCATTGTCCCTGACCTACAACTAACTACTCTCTGGGCAGTTTCTCACATTGTTCCTGTCCTATGTTGTGTGGAAGGTATTGACTCATGCTAGTGTGCAGCTCCTCAGGCAGGGTTAGCCTGTTGGTATCCTGCTCCATGGCCCTGAGACCTAGACAATAGATATTGATACACTAACCATTTGAGGTGGGTATAACCATGGAACTCAGAACTTTTCAAAGTGCATGCTCACCAACAGGAGTATGCAGGGTCTCTGTCTAACTGTTTTCTGTGCCCCTCCTTTGACCTGTGCAATTCAGATTAGGCCCAGCTCCAAGTTGGAACTGAACTATTGGATTAGTGTGAATCGCTCTAATACTGTGTGGCCCCTCAACTCATACAGTTTCTTTGCAATCCCTCTCACAAGAATTCCCTTCCCCTGTACTCAATGTCTCTGATATCTAACTCTATTTCAAAACTTCTCATATTGCAGAATGTCTGCATCTATTCATTCACTGCTTTTGGCTTTGTGCATTAATCTTTGATCTCTCTGACTAAGTTAGTGGGATGTATGGTAGAAACTCTGAACTATGCACTTGGGTCCACTGATGTACACATTAATGATGATATTAAAGACTGCAGCCTCTTCTCAAAACCCAGTTTAATGTCATTTATTTTTTAATAATTACTGATTGAATGCTGCTTCATGTGAGAGATATCAGTGGTAGTGAATGGAACAGGTTTCATTTCAAATGCCCATGTCAGCATCAAACAGGACAGGGACAGCACAGGGTTAGATACTAAGTAACACTCTCTCTACACTGTCTCTAAATACTCCCAGACAGGTACAGCACAAGGTTAGATACACAGTAAAGCTCCCTCAACATGGCCCCGTCAAACACTCCCAGTTCAGGTGTAGAATGGGGTTGGGTACAGAGTAAAGCACCTCTCCTCATTGAAACAGAAAGTAAAGCTCTCCCGATACTGCCTCAGGACAGGGACAGCACTGGGTTAAATAAACAGTAAAGCTTCCCCATTCTTTTAAGCTGAAATTAAAGATCTCTCTAGTCTTTTAAAGTTTTCTCTACACTGTCCGCATAAAATTCTCTTGAGATTCACTACTTTTTAATTAACGAAGAAACTGCAGTTATCAGTTTTTAATTTGGATGTGTCTTTGGACTCTTGTGCTTGGTTCCGATGGTTTATCCATACATCGCCCAGCTCCTCAGTCCACGGTGTACTTCACGCTGTTCTATAGGCTGTACTCAATGTCCTTCTTTCTCCTCCACTCCCAATGCTGTTACCTCTTCAGAAGCGGGACGTAAGTCCGGAAGAAATAGACTTAAAGAATGAACCTTGGTATAAGTTCTTTTCGGAGCTGGAGTTCGGCAAACCGGTAAGTCACCAGCTGAGCGCTCAATCAGTCAAGTGCTCTTTGTCTTTGCGATTGTTTGCAAGAAAGTTAACTTCCAGTAATGGTTTCACTGGAGTTGGAGTTCTTCTCCAGGAGTTTCCGGTCCTTAATGAGTGATTTTACCTGCTGAACATGAAAAGCAGCAATTGTCCCATTATAATTCAGCCACAAGCTATTTTCAATGCCCATTTCTGCCAAGGTGGTAGGGGCTGACTAGAGTGGCCTCTGTTCCCCAGGGCCACAGGTCAAAGCACCATACTGTAGTGTGTCCATAAAGAGTCAGTGTTACAGCAAAGCAGGCCCTTTGGCCCATCTTGCCCTTGGCAGTCTTTAAGTAGCTATCTACTTTAGTCCCATTTTCCAGCAATTGGCCTTGTACATGTCATGGTGCTTCAGGTGATCATCCATATGTGGATATTAGTTGAGTGTGGAATTGGGCTCAGACCCAATGCTCTCTGTCTATAACCTGTCCTCTGCCATTGCCCAGAGCCTACATTTGGAGGCATCACTTTGTGATGTGTTTATTCACTGCTCAGTGCCCTGAACTCCAAATGTCCTTGAGTTCCAGCTCTTATGGGAGAGAGGGGTCACAGGTCACTGGGTTAATTTCCCTACAAACCATGGATTAGCAAATCTGCTCAGTGTTGTGTTTGTGCTGAGCCCCCGGTCTCTAACTGCAGGCAGGAAACCAATGCAGCCCACTCTTTCTCCTCACCGTAACACTTTCTCATCTCTCCTCATCCTATCCCCCTCCAGAATCCTCTTTGTACATCCTTTCCTCCCCTCCTTGTATTACCTCCCTCCCTGTACCTCTGTTGTTACTCCCTGTGCTCTGTCTCGCAAACACCTCCCCCCCCCCCCCCCCATCACCTACAGCGTGTCTCTCACTCTGTGTCTCTCATGCCCTGTGCTCGTTCTCTTACTCTCTCTCTCTACTCTCTCTCTCTACTCTCTCTCTCTACTCTCT